TCGCCTTCGCTCCGGCCAGCGGAGCCCTTCGTCAGTCCCCACCCGCTTCACCCACCGCGGCCGCCAGACCCGCCGCACTCACCCCTCTCCAGCCGGACAGGCTCCCCCAGCGCCGCCATCTTCTCCTCGGCGAGGCAGACCCACAGGAAATGACGACAGAGAGGCCGTGGTGGAGGGACCAGAAGCCGGAAGGGTGAAGATGGTAGTAACGCGAGAGCTAGAAGGATGCGGGGTCGAGCTGTGGAGGGTGAGGTTGCACCGACGAGAGGTTGTCTGCGTTCGCTGGTCTGTGCTCGCCCACTTCCAGCCACCTGAGGTGGAAAAGGACCGCTATCCCGACTTGTCCCCTGCCTCGGGGAGTCACGTCATTAGTTCCAGGCCCTGCTTGATCCTCGGCAGCCTCTGACCTTGGACTTGCACACTGGCCGTCGTCTCGGCCGGTTTCTCCATGTCCGAGGAGGCTCTTATAACGCCTTAGAATCCCAGATTGCTTTACTTTTAAAAATCCACAGTTCGAATCTTTGTCTCTAATCTGTTAGAGCAGAAGGGGAGAGGACACATAGTAGTTGCACCACAAAGTCACGCTTTTAATTGGCCAACTCAAAGTCTTTTGTAAATGAAGTATGAAGCGTATGTGTTGTTCTGTAGGTCCAATTTCTAATCTGTAAAAAAAAAAATGTTTTTGTATGTATAAGCGTTTTACCTACATGAATGTATGTGCACCATTTACGTGCCTGGTGCCTATGGAGGCCACAGGAGGGCATAGGATGTTTGAGAACACGCGTTAACGATAGTTGTGGGCTGCTATACCGGAGTTGGGAATCTGGCCCCAGGACGGCTGGCAGAGCAGCCAGTTCTAAGGGTTATGCCATCTCTCCAGCCCCTTATAGGGCCACGTCTGAAAATTTAATGAACCCAAATCCTTTTAGTCCCCAATTTAAGTGAAATTTTATGAAATTTGAATTTGACCAGCAAAGTCCTTGGTCTGTGCTAAGTTCTCAACACCTCCAGGACAGGATTGATCTACCTTTTCCATTCAACTACAGTTTTCTACTTATTACTAGGTAGAGCCAATTCAGACTTGTGTGAGCCTTAATTGAATCCCAACACTGGGCAGTCGTCTTAAAGCTTCCTCATGGTCCATGCAAACTATGTAGATTTTCTATGCTGATAGGAACTATTCTTATGAATTAGGGTTACACATTACTTAACTTTTCCTCTCTCTACATCTTTTTTAGTGCCTGAGATCAAACCCATACACAGACTTACATATGCTACACAAATGTTCGACTACTGAACTACATCTTCTATCCTCTGCTCTTTTGCAGTAATCTTTTTTGCACGTCCTTGATAATTATCACATAATCATAAAAATTCCAGAATTCCAGGTTTAAGTAGACGACCATAACGGTTTCTAGAGAATAAAAGGTCCCCTTCTGTGCCAGGCAGTGGTGGCACATCCTTAAACACTCAGGAGGCAGAGGAAGGCAGATCTCTGTGAGTTTGAGAGGCTCCCCCCCCCCCCCCCAGAATGAGATGAGTTCCAGGAAAGCTAGGGCTGTTACACAAAGAAACCCTGTCTCAAAAAACAAAACTAGTAATCGGGAACAGGTTGCACTTTTCAGCAACAGCACTGTAACAACTCTGCAAGCTATAAAATTTGTATAGAAAAGTAATTCCCAAACTAGAATTTTTTACTTGTTTTCTAGAACTTCCATAGCAAAGTATACCAAGTGGAATGTCTTAAAACTGCAAATATTTGTCTCACAATTCTAAAATGAAGGCACTATATTCCTTCTGAATCTACAGGAAACCTTCTTTGTTTCCCTGGATTTCTAGAAGCTTCCTGGCAGTATTTTGGTGTTCCTGACTTGCAGCTGTGTTACTCCAGTCTTTGTTTTCATTTTCACATGGCATTATCTCTATTATTTCCTCAGAGAATTTACTTATAAGAAGGCCAGTCATGTTAGACCAGGGGCCTACTCTAATCCAATATGCCTTTATCATAACTGGTTACTTAAGCAGTGGACCTACTTCCAAATGCATTTCGATTCTTAGGTACATGTATTTTGTTTGTTTGTTTGTTTATTTGGTTTTTTGTGAGGAGTCCATTTATTTTGCTGATGAAATTATCAGAAGTGAAGGAGTGAAGGTATATCATACAATGTTTTTAGGGCTATAGGTGTAGATCAGTGTTTGAACTTTTTTTGTTTTGTTTTGTTTTGTTTTGTTTTGTTTTGTTTTGTTTTTTTTTGTTTTTTTGAGACAGGTTTCTCTGTGGCTTTGGAGGCTGTCCTGGAACTAGCTCTTGTAGACCAGGCTGGTCTCGAACTTACAGAGGCCTGCCTCTGCCTCACTAGTGCTGGGATTAAAGGTGAGTGCCATCACTGCCCCATTCAGTGTTTGAACATTTGTTTAGCATATCCCACAACCTGGGTTTGATCCCCAGAACCACAATTTCATATTAAACATTTAAGTTATAAAAAATTTACTTTCCACACATAATTTCTCTGTCCCCATCAGAATTAGGAATTTAGGCTGCAGCTGTAGCTCATTGGTAGAACCTAGCTTGTGTTGGCCCCTGAGTCCAATCCTCAGCAAACAGAGAACCAATGTAAGTTAAGATGATTCTAGAATGCTTGTTTTATAGCATTTCAAGAGAAATACAACTAATAGAATGCGAATACTCACATAAGTGCATATGCAGAGACTTATTAAGAACGATTGGCTCAAGTGATCATGAAAGATAATCTCATGATCTGTGGCCTGCAAGAGATGGAAATACAGGAAACAATATGGTAATAGTTTCAGTACAAAGTCAAGGGTTAAAAAAAAGCTGAGAAGTTAATGAGTAAGTCCTAGTCTGTGGTTGGAGACTTGATGATCACCTCCATTAGCCAAAAGGCAGAAGGTACTTAGCCCATTTTAGCCAGAGAGACTGCTGTCTTTGCCTGGTCTTTTGTCATATCTAGGCCCTCAAGGGATAGATTACATAATGCCTACCCATGCCACTGATGGTGACCTTTTCTTAATTTATGACAAATGCTAAGCTCTTGCAGAAGTACCCAAGTCATCCAAAAAGAATGCTTTATCAGCTATCTGGCCATCATTTTGTTGTTGTTTTTAGACAGGGTCTCTATGTAGCCCTGGCTGTCTTAAAACTTGCCTGATCTCAGGCTGGTCTCCCAACTTACAGAGATACACTTGCTTCTTTCTCCAGAGTTCTGGGATTAAAGGCTCCTGCTATCACTCCCTGGTTTGAGCATCTTTTAGCCCAGTTAAATTGATACTTAAGGTTAATCATTGACAGTTTTCTATTGAAGTTAGGGGAAAGACTGGGGCCCCTGTGGGCAGAAGGCCTTACTCCAAAGTAAGGATATATCATATTACCTGGTCTGGTCTTAACAATAGCTCAGGTAGAGTGGGTCACAATCTCAGTTTACCTGCAGCAACATTTTCCCCAGGAAGAAACCATATTCAGCTAAATTGTCAAGATCATGAAACTCAACTTGCAGAAACTCAAGTTGGGTAACTGCCAGGGGCTGCTGGAGCTGGAGAGGAAATCAGAACTTCATGAGCTCAAAATCAAGGTGGCCAAGCAAATCAAGGTTGGTGATGCTTGGAAATCAATCCTAATTATTGTTCCAGTTTCTCAACTGAAATGTTCCTAGAAAATCCAAGTCCAGCTAGTGTGTGAATTGGAGAAAAGCTCACTAGGAAGCATGTTTTCTTTATTGCTCTGGGGAGATTTCTGCCTAAGCCAACTCAATAAAACCATACAAAAAAAAGTCAAGTATTCCAGAAGCCACACGCTGACTTTTGTGCATGATGCAGCCTTGAGTACTTAGTCTTCCCAAGTAAAATTGTGAGCAAGGGGATTCACTGAAACTGGATGCAACTGGCTCATAAAGGTTCATTTAGACACAATGTGGCAGAACAGTAGAGCACAAGGTCAAAGTCTTCTCCAGTTCCAGGGAATTGGAGGCTCTCCTCACATCCATTGGCACCAAGCATGTGCATGGTGTATATACATACATAGAGGCAGAGCAGTCATACACATAAAATAAATCTTCAAACCTCGAAGAACAAAGTTATAGCTCTTCTGAGTCTTCAAAGTGCTAGGATGATACACACATGCCACGACAAACCTGACTAGATATATTTTAATGAAAATACTGAAAAACAAAAACAACAATATTAAATAAGATATTTTATTTTATTTATTTTTTTCTGTGAAGATATTTAGTTGTGGGCTTGGCTGCAGGACATATCTTAATTTGGTTTGTAGTCAGGATTTCTTTCCCACCTGGTCTCACGCCATTTAGCCTCAAATAAATACAGAGAGACTTAAATTAATTAGAAATTGGCTGATGGCTCAGGCTTCTTATTGGCTAGCTCTCTCTTAATTACTAACCCATTTCTATTAATTTACATATTTCCACATGGTCTTATCTTAGTGGAGAAGGGTCCAGACCTGTTACTCCTTCCTTGGCTACTTGGTGTGGCCTCTCTCTGTGTCCTCTCCCCAGAATTCTTCTTGTCTCATAACCCTGCCTATACAACCTGCCTGGCTACTGGCCAATCAGTGTTTTATTCATCAACCAGTAAGAGAAGCATATATACAGAAAGATATTACCCATCATCTTCTCTTTTCTGTCTAAATAAAAAGAAAGTTTTAACTTTAATAAAATTATAACAAAACAGTTATCAAGTAAGAATTATAGCTAACAATATTTAGTCCATTAACATTTGGCAAAATTTAAAGAAAATTTCTATTATCTATCCTATCTTCTTGAGTCTAAAGTTTTATATGTAACTTATCTTTTACCATAACTAAGGAAAACCATAACCATAGCTATCTGTCTTCAACTCCATCAAAGACCTCAGGAGGGTAATATATAAACTCTAGAATTGACAGAGATATCATGCTATCTGGACAGTCATGCAAGGTTCCTGTGTAATGTTGAAGCATCCATCTATAGGCCACAGTTTTTCTGGCAGACTCAAACAGTCCAGGAAAGAGCAGTTTCTTGCCCAGATGGCTATTTATGCCATGTTGAAGGCACACTCCATATCGAGTTTCTCAGATGCCCATCTTCCTTTCTGACCTAATTGGTGTTGCCAGGAGCAGTTGTGTCTCATTGTCCTGAAAAACCCTAATAAACCATTTAAAATTTCATATTCTATAGGTCTTTGAAAGGTTTGAAGACTATCCATCTCAAATATATCTCTCTATA